CTTTTAGCACCTTTTCAGGCCTTCTGGAAAGCTTCCAAGTGGAAGACTCCCACCTCCTTAATCACGAGAAAACACTGGCTCTCCTCTGAATGTCATTCATTCAAGTGTACTGACCTAGCCTGACCTTGTTTAGATTGAGATCTAATGAGCCCACGATCCAAGGTGGTGTGGTAGCTCTCAGCAGGCTTTGCAAATAAGCAAGTGGTGTGTTTTTCTGTATGCATGTGGTTTAAATTTATCACGTCAATAAACAAGTGTCTGACACGCTCAAATGGGGACTTTAAATGTTGTAGTTAAGACTAAATTGTAGCACTACAAATTGTGATGTCACTCTATAAATATAGAAGGAGACAATATGGAGTATTTATGACCTCAAAACAATGAAGTCGTGCTGGTTGGGGTTTTTTTAATTTAAATAATGGCATAGCACTAAAACTCCTAATCCAAACAGCTCACAAACTTTGGACATATTTTTCAGCAAAAACAGTCATGGTGATGGTTTCGGGAAAGCAAAATTAAAAAATAAGGCTGTTGATATAAAGAAAGGAGAGATTCATCAGTACAGTATCGTAACAGAGATCATCCGAGTTAAAATAAATACAGCTAGGCTTCAGATTCCAGTGTGTCGTGGTTTAACCCCAGCCAGCAACTAAGCACCACACAGCCACTCACTCACTCCCCTCACAGCGGCATGGGGAGGAAGCAGAAGTGTAAAAGTGACAAAACTCATGGGTTGAGATAAAGACAGTTCAATAGGTAAAGCAGAAGCCATGCACACCAGCAAAGCAAACCAAGGAATTCATTCCCCGCTCCCCATGGGCTGGCAGGTGTCCAGCCATTCCCAGGAAAGCTGCGCTCCAACGCTCCTAAGGGTTATTTGGGAAGACAAAAGCCATCACTGTGAATGTCCCCCCACCCTTCCTTCATTATATGCTGAGCATGACGCCATACGGTATAGAATATCCCTTTGGTCAGCTGTCCCAGCTGTGTCCCCTCCCAACTTCTTGTGCCCCCCAGCCTCCTCGCTGATGGGGTGAGGAGCAGAAAAGGCCTTGACTCTGTGTAAGCACTGCTCAGCAACAGCGAAAACATCCCTGTGTTATCAGCACTGTTTCCAGCACAAATCCAAACCACAGCCCTGTACCAGCTACTGTGAAGAAAATGAACTCTATCCCAATCAGTTGTGATAAAATTACCCCCTGCTTTTGCAGAGAATATATGGCCAAATGTAGGTATTTTATGAAGTACGCAAACCTTGAAGCTTTCAAATAAAAAAGGGACAGGGGCTGATTGTGGTACATGCCACCAGATCGATCCAGTTAACGTGGATGGGTAAAAGTATAGTTGCAACTGGAAGCTGTTTGAGCTGCAGAGTGAGAGCGTTCACAGCGTGTGTGCTGGGAGTTCCCAGCAGAAGCCTGATGAATCCCATCTTCCTTGGGCGATGCTGTGGGCTGGCAGAAGGTGCCTCCAGCTGTAAATCCTGACTCTTTCATGCCAGGGACAGCACCAGCCCCGCAGAGAGAACAATGCCCTCGTTTCAGACAGCCCACGGTGCATCAATTGTGAGGCTGGAAACAAATGTTGTTAGGGCTCGGTATTTACGTTGGGACCTACAGGGCGGGAGTGACTTGTTTTGTTTTTAATGCAGCAGTTGGGGAGAGGGATAAGAAGCTTTTTGATAATGCAAGGAATGTGGGGGGAAGGGAAGTTAGGGAGATACGCATTTACTGTAAGTATGAAGAAGCAGAGGCCTCTTTATCAGACCGGCTCTAATGATGTGCCACAGTCATTTTATTTGAAAGCTTCGTGGCTCACAGAAAACTAAACAAATTCATTACATTATTTTTAAAAGAAGATTAACTGTAGTGTGTCGTCTGTTGGACAGCTGCTGTAGTAATCTTTTACAAACACTTTATAAATGACCACCCTCAGTGTTTTCCTGGGCTTTGTGTGGCTGGATTGTTATTTTAGTAAGTACCAGGGTGGCTTTTCAAATGAAAACGTTGTTTCCTGTGTAGCAATTACGTACCTACCTTCACCGTAAATATTATTTTATTCTCAGCACAAATTATGAATGTCTTCTATACAAATGCAGCATATGTTGCTTTTTTGCATGTGTTTGCACATGAATGCTGGCTTTTCCATCAAAGTAGCTAAAAAGTATTTTAAACAAAAAAAAAAAGCAAATCTGCTTTACTGTTCCACTCCCATTTATTCCGATTTCTGCTTTCTTGCCCTTTTTTGGTCTTTGAAAACAGAAACTTGAAAAGATGAATCAGAGTAAACGTAGATGATACATGAATTGACACAGGACGAATGTTTAGTCCTCAGCAGGTGTCTTTGGGAAATAAGACTGTGTTCAGGTATTGTCTGGCTTAACCATCTTTTGCTTGAATGTCAGCAAGAACGATGTGATTCAGCACCATGGCTGAATTTTCCTTTGCTAGCACCCGACTAACCAAAATTGGTATAACGCTAAGGATTTGTCGGTTTATGAAGTGGTCTTAACCAACCTTTCCATAAAGCAGTTGATCTTGTGCATTCACGTTACAGTTAAGGGTTCCTCAAACAGGTGAGAGGAGAGCAGGGAGAGGAGGAATTTTTCTTTTGCAGTCAGTTTGGCCTCCGTGGGATTCCAGTGCCCTGGCAGAGGACCTTGCCTGGCACGTACGATGCTATAGTAAAGGTGCTGGATCTGAACCAAGTCCACTATTCTTCTTCTGGGAACAGTATGTGGCGGTTAGACTCACTTTATCTTCCCCAGCCCTGGGATGTGAGCTGCTAATACAGCTGCCGGAGGCATGGGTGGTTCCTCCGGACTGCTTTACTTCTCTCGGTATGCTCCACCTTCATCAGCTTATAGCTGAAGTGTCCGAGGGACACACAGATTTGGCAGAAGCATCAGAAAGTGTACTTCGTTTATTTTGGGCAGAAGAATTACATATTTAAATAACCCAACAATTGCATGCAGTCTCCCCTTTTTCTGTCCTGGTCATGCAGGAATCTGCTTCAAAGTCCACTTGTGTACAGGTGGGGTAGACATTTCCTGCGCCACCTTACATCCATGCCATTTTCACTGCTGTTGGTGGGTGGCTTTTTCCCTACCCAGAGACACCATCTTCTTCTAAATATAGCCTGGCCTCAGAGGACACTGTTCCTTGCTCAGGTTGTCTTAGCAAACAACTGGTACAACTGTTGCTGAGGAAGTGGATTAACTGATGGAGTCATTGGCCAATCGTTACTCTTTGGGCAACATCTCTATCATATTTCACATTGCTGCAATCCATTGTGTTTCCACAGTTTTGCCCACAGCCCCACCTCTTCTTGTTAAATAACACGAGCAGGATATTTAAACGATCTCAGCAGAAGATGCTGAATGTGGTTAGAGAAAAAAATGGGAGCCTGAAAACCTATTCCAACCTGAGCCCATAATTTAGAAGTGTGTCAATGTTTGCAATTTGGACTTGGCTACAAGTGGTAGTAGGGAAGCACAGGAAACAGGACCTAGAAACCCTGAGCTCATCACAGAAGCTAATACTTCTGGTGTTTTTGTTGTTGGATTTCTCCTCTGTTAGAAGAGAAGGTGATGTTTAATGATGCTCAGCGTTCGTACTTTAGCCTGCGCTGTATTGCAGTGCCTGGCCCATGGAGCTGGCTAAGAAGCATCACTTCCTTAAATCACGATGAAGAAAGTCTTATTTGGGACTGTATGACATCTTGAATTGCCATCTAAATGAAGAATTAGCAATGTGCCTTCAGTCTTGGAAATACCCAAAAGCAAGACCAGTACAGTGCAAGAGTCTTGTTTGCAGAATTTTGTACTTTCTTCATTGCTCAGTCGTTACGGGGAGGTTGCACAGAAGTGGCTTCACAATGTCCAAATCCTTCCTGCTTCCTGAGGTGTATAGCGGTTTGTCTACAACTTTGTGAAGGTCTGTGTGCAGTGATCACCAGAGGAGTTAGGGTTCTGTCAAGAGTACTCCTCTGTCAGGGAAATCTTGAGGAGGGCATTGAGCAAACAGCCCTGTAGTGTTAGACCAGTGGCGATTTTTTTAATGCTTCTAATTAATATTTAAGCGTTCAGTGGGACTGTTGCCTGGAAGGATATGAATGAACCTCTCAGGCTTCTAGGAGTCCCTGGAGTCGGTCTCATCTTGCTATGGAACAGCTTTTTATTTCTACACTGCTTGATGTCATGCTGGATTTTCCCTGATAAACTCAGCATATCTGTTTAATGCTCTTCATCTGTACATGAAATAAATATTTTCATTTGGGGTATACTTAATGCATATATTTATAGTAATTTGGTTTTCAGTGTGAATAATTAACTGTTCTGTCTGCAGACCTAAAGAAACTTCAACCTTTGTGGGATATGTATGTATCTGTTTATGCAAGCTTGTGCATATGTTTACCCGAGATTGCTAAAGGATCTCCAAGAGGTCTTGGATGAAGGTGAGGGTTGTCACATCCTCTGCTTTGGTACAATGAAGATGAAGCCCCTGTGTGGCAGACAGAGGTTTTCTCAGGCTTGAGCAGTGTCACTTTACACAACAAACAGCCCCAGAAAACTGGGATCTTAAGGAAAGATCCTGCTTAAATATGTGTATGCTAAAAAAAATCTGTACCCTCCCTTCACTGCGGAACTGCCTCTGCTATTCACAGTCCCCTCTCAGGTTTGGGTATGAGAAAACAAACAGCAAAACAAGTCTTAAATATGATGTTTAACACATAGCTAGAAGGTGCTGAGATTACTCTGCTGCTGAGAACAGTGGGATCATCTACAGCGGCCAATTCTACAGATCTCTGCAAGTGTGGCATTTACACTTCTGTGAACTGAGCAGAGTAGAGAGGTGAATGAAGTATAATGATCAGTGAAATAATGAAGCTTGAAGCATCTCATTTTAAACATTACCCGTGTCCTTCAATTGCATTTATGCATATTTTGTTCACTTTCCTATAGAAATATAAGCACTTTTTTCAAATGTTGATTATTTCAGGCAACAAAAGAAGAGGAAGAACTTACTGCAGAGGAAAAGAGGAAACTGGAAAGAAAATTAAAGAAGGAGCGCAAGAAGAAAGAAAAACAGCTGATGAGAGAAGCTGGAATCTCTACTAAAAAGGTGGAGCCCAAAAAGCCATCGGGATCTGAGCGGGCTCTGGCCTATTTGACCAGGTAAGAACACTAAAACCACCTCAGGTGCTTCCTGCAGAAGTAAGCTGTAAACTGTGCCAGAAATCCAGAAGAAGCCAAACCAAGTAACTGCACATTAAAGGAAATTGCTGCAGTTAAGTACGAAGTTAACGTTTCATCTGGGTTGACAGCCTAGCATACCGTTGATCGCCCCGTTGTATTTATATCACAGGAACGACTGAAGGATGTTAAGTATGGTGCAGGCATTTCATAGAAAGTCAGCTCCTGTCCTGAAGATCTTGCTGTTGATATATAAATGTCACTGGGTTAGCTGCTCCTACAGAGATGAAAGGCACGTTGCAGCAAAGACTGCAGTGAGGAAATTAGTTTTGTTGAAGTGTGCTCTATTAAGCAAAAGAGTTTCAGTTGCTCTCTTTATATAAGCAAATTGCATGAAGTGGTTGGTTAAGCATTACAGAGCTGAATTTAACTGCCTGTATCATATTTGGATATATGTTAATTAAGGTGGGATTATGCCACTATTGTAAAGTTAATAGTGTGCAGTGCCTTATTTTTGCATCCCCAAGTGTGTAGTCCAGTGGCCAATTTCAGATCGGAAGCAGTCACTTCACCGAGTTAGCACACTTATTTAGGACAAGGAACAACGGCAAAGCACTCAGTGTCCTGCAGACAGAAAGAGGCCATGTATAAACAGGACAATAGTGTTTATTTTTTTCCAAACTGCAAAGTATACCCCATCTGTAAGACCTCCAGAAGACTGGTTTGTTACAAATAGTGGGTTACCACATGCTGTAATTCCAGGGTTGCATCTCTGGCCATGCTCAAAACTGAAGCATCCAGACTGTCTGAATTGTTACTTACCACTCTCAGTGGGGAGGGAGGAAATTAATTGCATTCCAGGCAGAGGGACATGTGCATTTTTGTTATATAACCCCCAGCACGCAGTGATAGCAAAATGACAATAATATTTTTGATCTGGAAAACAGCTGGGGTAGTTCACCACTGTTTTGAACTGCAAATAGATTGACAGTTAGCTTTGAAGCATCTGCTCAGGCTATACTCTGGTATGTGTGCTGGTAAGTGGTGACTCTAGAGATAATGGTTTTCAGGTTTGGAAAGCAGAGGAACAAGCTGTGGGTTTTGGGTTGATATTCCACTGTTATCTGTATGGATTTTTGCCTTCCTAAGGGAGAGTATATGAAACTGTATTTGATCTAATTTGACTCCAGAGTTTCACTTATCCTGTACCAAATTGCCTCAAACTAGTAAACCTACGATTTTGGTCTTGTGATACAGAGTCCAAAGGGCTGTATGTACAGCCATAGCTTGTGAGGGATTATTTCAGCAACAGTCAATTTGAATCTTGTAGATTTAACAGGGATAGTCGTAAGATGCTCAACTGCCAAGCAAACATAACCGTAGGCAACATTTAAGACCCAAATGTCCCAGGACTGTCTTACACTGTTGTAAATTATGGAACAGTTTAATCCTTTTACACCTCAGAAGTTCTTTTCAGCAAGACTGGAAAAAGAAAAAATGTGTTTAAAGTAATCAGAGAAGGTGGAGAAGGGAAACTAAAATGTAAGCTCTGGAAGTTGTAAATCCCTGGCAACTTCAGTGGGTCAAGGATTTCAGTCTACGTGTTTTTGTTAGGGCTACAGGCATGAATAATATGTGGGAGGGTAAATTAATCTTATAGATGCAGGAGGTTAATATAATTGGAAGTAAACAAAAGGGTGCTGTGGATTTATGTTTTGCCCCACCTACAATAAAAAGCCTTACATGCCATAAGGGTTGGTAAGTGAAGCGGCATCTTAATTCCCTGATGACATGTGAAATGGCCTGTAGGACAGGTGGAACTTGAAGTACCAAATAATAACTAAAACTGCCATTTTTATTTATTAAGAGACTATTTGCAGTATGAGGCATTAGCCTACGGCAGGAAACTATTGAATTTGTTTTAGTGAAATTTTGTTTGATAACTTTAAGAGGAAAATGTTACAAAGCATTCAGTGAAAGATTGTTTTGTTACACATCTGAACTACTGACATGCAAGGGAAAATTAAACTTACTTTGTAGGTCATACATATTTTAAGAGGTTTAATTCTGCACTTCCCTCAAAGTGCAGAATTACCTTTTCTGGTATGTGGGATTCTTTGCCAGGATAAAATTCAGCAAATTTCTGTTTCAAGCCATGAGGTTAGGGAGAAGTAGCAAAATTTTACTTGGAGGAAATAAAGCATAACTAGTAACGGTTACTGTATTGTGGGGGGTCCTGTACTTAGAAAGCCCTTCTGCAATAGCTTTGTGTGTTCTATTTCAGGAATAAAATTGAAGTAGAGACAGCCCTCCTCTCTTTGCTGAGGCACGAGGTGACTTTCACAAAGATGTGCCCCATAATTGTAGCTGAGATGACTTGAAGAGAGCATTGATGGAGGGAGTGGGGCATGCAGTGTGCCGGGGGCAGGACCACTACTTGGCTCCTGCCCTTCTTGACGCCTTTGAGACCAGCACGGCGACTGGACTGAGAGCGATGCTTCGCATGAAGGGCAGTGCCAGGCCAAGGCAGGTGGCTGTCTTCGATAGCAGCGCCGCTGTGTGCCCCTGCTGCCGGGGGTCTTCGTAAGCCTCCCTACTGCTGGACACAGCGTGCTACAAGCTGACCAGTTCTTCCAGTTTTCCAGGTTCGTTACTGGAGTTTAAAGCTAAACAAATAGTCCTTGATACTTTGCCAGCCTCCAGAGAGGTCAAATTATCATTTTATTGGAGGACCATCCTAGCAATTGAGAGGCTTTCTTTCCTATGCATTTGGGTTGGCCACGTGCAACAGCATCTGATGCCAACTGGCAAACTGCAGCCCCGGCTAGTTCTGAGGGTGCTGAAGGATTTGTCCTGTGAGCTGGGTGACATTGGTAGCCCAGGCGTTCCGGCTGCTTTCTCATTTGAATGAGACCAGGACAGGCACCCACCAGGTTTTACACTCCTGATAGAGGAGAAGCCACCAAATGGCTTCTGTTTTTTTCTCTCTTCGATTGTCTTGGCCTGTGAGAAAAGAAAAGGCAGAGAAAAAAATGTCTTTGCTTCACCAATTGTTATGTCACCTTTTCCCTCAATGAGACAAGCTCAGGTGGTTTCTAACACAGGTCTGTCTAACGCAGCGATCGCCGCACGCCTGCGGAAACAGAGAAAGTCTGCTTCCGGCAGATTCTCCAGCTCGCTGGGGAAGCAGAGAGGGAGACCTGAAGACACACAGAGGGTTAAAAATAGTCAACTAAAGCAGAAAGGGAAGCAGAAAGCTTATAAAACTGTGAGAAGGAAAAAAACAAAATGTGGAATAATGAAAAGGAAAAAAGCTCAGAGTGGTGCTGAACACAAGAGAAAACACCCTGTAAAATTACTGTAGGGGAATAGGGAAAAAAGGAGTGAGGAAGTATTAGTGGCTGAATAAACTGCACAAATCTCTTGAATGGTGACATGCCTTTTTTCTTTATGATAGTAAGTGATGAAGGTTTAAAGCCAAGATTAGAATGTCTCATTACTTTGATTCTTGGAAAATATTAAAAAAAAAAAATCAGCCTTTCCTCAGAATTAAGTGCCTTCAAGTGAAAAGATGTTGCAATTCATGAGAATGGTAATTAGACTTAATTATAACCTAACTGACCTTCTGTGCTGTTAACATGTTGGCAGAACTTGTTTGTCTTGGCAAGCCACCTTCTCCAAGAAAAACGTTTCTGTTCGTATGTTTGGCTTAGGAAGTTCATGGCTATATGGATCTGCACATATGGTTTTCTCCATCGCCCATCAAAGGAAGAGACAGAGATCTGAAAAGATGCCACGAGAAGCATGTGGATTTAGCAGATTGATATAATCTGCAGTAGAAGTAATAGATAATATCATTATCTGGATATTGCTGGGAGTTACCTAAACCTTGCCCTATTATTTATCATGTGTTAAAATTTCAAAAAGAAGCTACTGGAGTACGTTTCTTTTCTCTCTGTAGTGACTTACGTTACACTAATGATACGTGTCACCAGAATGTTTGCCAAGGCATTGTATTTTCAGTTTCCTTTATAGATTTTGCTTTTCTCATCCCTAATTGCAATTTCAGTGAGAGTCTGAGAATGTCAGTGTCTTCTTTAAAAAACAAACAAACAAACAAAACAAAAGCTTTTTAAGAATAACACAAAGTAAGGGCACGTTAGAGAAACACAAAAGTGAGAGACAGAATTTCCCATCGAGCCAGGAAATAGTCTGCCTCTGCAGAACACAAGGGGCTTTTTGCTGAGCGCAGTGGCAATACTGCTGAAAGCAGTGTACAACCCAGGGCAGTTGTTTGTCTGCTGTGTTTGCAGAAAGGAAACAGATCCCAGTCCTCGGTCAAAATTTATTACAAACAGTGCCAGGCATGGGAGATTTTAAAGCTGAAACATTGTTCTTCCTTTTGAACAATATAGAAACCTGAGGGGCGTTGCTGTAAGCGTTTATTCTGAATCTATTTAATATAAATTGTATAGGTTTATATAATGCTATAAAATATGCGTGTATCAATATACAAAATAGAAGTAACATGTATGAAGTCTGTCAAGTGTTTACTCCTACTGGAGCAGAGGCCGTCTGGAGAAGGGCATCAATAGGTAGCTTAGTGTTCCTTCAGTATTAGCATCTAGGAAGTTTCAGGTTCTTGAAGAAACCAGTGGAAGCTTGTGCTGGACTGCAAAGGGAACAGCAACATTGGAGATTTGTGGCTGAACAGCTGAAGTGAAGGTGGCCCTTCAGGAAATCACACCACCATTCATCCATCCTACCACATTTGGGACGAGGTGACGATATTGAGAGACCTTCTGAGCAAATACAGCCACACTCATTAATGCTGAAAAATAGTTTCTAAATTTACATTCAGCGGGCTTGTGCCAGATTTAGTTTGCTTCATTGATCCATAATATTTTGAAGCTGTTTTTCCTCTCACAGTTTTTTAGCTGTGGTCAGTGATGACTTCTGATGCTTCATTCTGACCTGAAGTC